TGGTTAGTTGGTTGATGGGTTATTGTTGGTTGGTGGGTTGGTTATAGTTGGTTGATGGGTTATTGTTGGTTGGTGGGTTGGTTAGTTGGTTGATGGGTTATTGTTGGTTGGTGGGTTAGTTAGTTGGTTAATGGGTTATTGTTCGTTGGTGGGTTGGCTAGTGGGTTATTGTTGGTTGGTGGTTTGCTGTTGGTAGACAGGTTATTTTTGGTTGGTGGATTGGTGGGTTGGTTGATGGGTTATTGTTGGTGGTTTGCTGTTGGTTGATGGGTTGGTTGGTTGGGTAGTGGATTGGTGGGTTGGTTCATGGGTTGGTTGGTTGGTTGGTTGGCTAGTGGATTGGTGGGTTGGTTGATGGGTTGGTTGGGTAGTGGATTGGTGGGTTAGTTGATGGGTTGGTTGGTTGGTTAGTGAATTGGTTGATAGGTTGGTTGGTTGGCTAGTGGATTGGTGGGTTAGCTGGTTGGTGGATGGGTTGGTTGGGTAGTGGATTGGTGGGTTAGCTGGTTGGTTGATGGGTTGGTTGGTTGGTTAGTGGATTGGTGGGTTAGCTGGTTGGTTGATGGGTTGGTTGGTTGGTTAGTGGATTGGTGGGTTAGCTGGTTGGTTGATGGGTTGGTTGGTTAGCTAGTGGATTGGTGGGTTAGCTGGTTGGTGGATGGGTTTGGGTAGGTTGGTGCAGGTTCGATATACCTTTAATGTTTTGCTTGATGGTGTTCACGATTGGTCTGAGAGACGATATACCGCCGTTTGAATGGCCATCGGTCAGTAGAATGATGATTTGTGGATCGTTAGCCTGGTTAGGGTTAACATTGGACTGAGCATTTATAAGAATATCATAAYCTTTCTGTAGAGCCAGGCTGGTTGCTGTACCGCCACCTAGATATTTATATATATAATTTATATAGAGATTATAGATATAGAGATTGAAGGACAGGCTCCTCATCAGTGTGGTATAATAGAGAAACTGTGATTTGGCAATAATGGCTGTGAGTAAAAGTATCGTGTATAGTCCATAATAATGATACTCTTATCAAGGCGAATATCAATAAAAACATTACTTGCAAAAGTAAGTTTGTCCACGGCGCACAGCAATGCTGATTTAGAAGAATGCTCTTCAAGTTTGATGGACTCGTACGCATAGTCCTCGTATTCCACTACTGCAACGCGGGCTTTATATGGCGAAATTTCAAACGCGCCAATGATTTTCCTAAAAAGAAGAAAACAACGGCGGATTTGTTGATAAAAAGAAATATCCGAGCTYCAAAATCAAATTCAAAGATAATTGAAAACGTACTTTACAAACTCTTTCTCTACTTCGTAGTTGATCTGACCGATGCTGCCAGACTCGTCAAGTACGAACACAATGTTAGCGGACAGTGGGCATCCTATGCAATGMAATTGCCAAGTATTGAAGTAAGAAATAATAAGCACAGTGATACAATCAAAGAGAAGCACTCGTGTAATATGACAGTTAAAAAAACTGCTTCTAATCTATATTGAGTTTACTGCTAACAGTCTTTTCAGGACTACTGCAGTTGAAATAGTCTCACCTTCATCGTCTCCGGGTGCTGGGCAACTGTGTCTGCTGAAAAAGCTTGCTGTAGACGTAAATATCGCATTTCATTATAACTAAATACCTTTCAATATCCTGAGTAACATCCGATGAAAGACCTACATGTAAGGACTCTTATTTTTCAAAAGTATCTGCACGGTTTTATAAAGTTTTAAAACAAATTGACTAATAGCCAAACCTTTTTTTCCAAATAATAATTATCTATGTAGCCCTTCTATCAGATGTCTTGAGACTAATTACAAATGTGTTAAATAATGGATGACTATAAGTCTGMGAACTTAAACACAATTCTTAGTTTCAGTTAAGGCTTGTAGGGAATGTGAAATCAGGTCTGTGTCCTGGGGGCACACCCCTACCCAAGATGGAACGGTAACGCCCCTGGCCGGGACTTTTACAATTTGCTTTGTGTAGTAAAGTAAATTAACCGATATGAACTTACTTGTATGYTTATAAAATTGCTGAACAGTGTCATTGGCCAGTTGAGGGATTTCATGATATGGCACTGATGAGAAGTCTAAACCGTTGTTCCAAAGAGCTTTTACTGCATAAGTGGCCGATGAAGTTTGTTCTGCTAAATCTCTGTCATCGAAAATCTTTCTAAAAGTTTCCATTCGTCTGCATGCAGCAAACTCTTTGTCATACACAACTCCACCTTGATAATACATTCGTAGRAARTGAGATAGACGGACACCTCGACTWWTCCACTCTGGTAGCTTAWAACCCAGTAAGAATCCYTCAATTCCACCGCGAATCTGTGCATCTGTAGCCATTGAAGGTGTTGACCCGCTGYCAGAGAAGTATTGTGGGCACTGAGTGTTTGGTGACCAGACACCTGATGGKCCAAGCAATGGTAGAMAAGGTTTGATTTTCTTGACGAGGGACGTCAGACCAAGATCACCAGCAAGTGTTGCCACGTATAGGTTGTCGATTTGCCGTGATATCTGCCACAGCCAGAGGTTTCTATCCCTACTAAGACCTGCACATATCCCTGTTATAACAGGACCCATTGCTACGTCATCGTATGCTGTAAGGACCACGCCCTGTTCTAGTTGCCCATAGAAACGATGTTGGACCATGRTGATGAGTGAATTCTTCTCGTTTGACGTTAGAGTGTCAATGAGCAAAGAATCTATTTTGATTTAACGCAATGTATTTTAGTGCGTCTGAAGCTTAAAATTGTAGTTCACTTATTAAACCAGTATACTTGCTCTTAATTTCACGACAAATCTGCTAACAAATTCTTAGAGCTACTACAATAGCACATATGCCAAGTGATTAAGGATGTTTCCCTCTCTTGGCATTTAATAATACATATATTTTCCCAATAATAAAATAGATTATATTCCTGTGTCTGTACAGGTGTCAACTGAACGCGCTGTCTTTTACCTACTCACCGTTTGTAGCTCCAAGTAACGTTGTCCATTTGGCATTATCATAACCGGTAAGTTTTCTGATGTAACTCAAGATTGCTGCCATTGGTATATTGTTATTCAGTCTCTCRATCTTTTCTATCAGCGAAATGAAGAAATCCAAGGTACGCAAGGTTCCAGGTCCTAACYTGGAACATAATTTACAGTTAAGACTTGTGTATAGTTTACTAGCTCTTGAATTACAACATTCATTGGCTTTGATTCTGAATAACCGTCAAAGTATTACATAAATACAAACCTGTTCCATTACCACAGTACCGCAGATGACATCCTGGCGTTCTGTCAAGCTCATAAACAAAGAAATTGCTGCAGTTTTTGACTCTAATTGTGTTCTGATAACTATGGCAAGTGCCAGGCGAGCTATAGTAGACTGTGCGTGATACGATGCCTTCGCCTACAGTCGGATGTGAACCAGACATCCAACCAGAATTATATGTGTTGCAATGATTCCAAGGAACGCACGATGTTGCTATGTGTGTCCCAGCAGCACCAGCAAAGCGGTACCAGCCTTTAGTCAAGTAGTAATCGCATTCATATGCAGTTGAAGGATGACGCCTTGATCGATTAGCAGAGGTCAACACTCTGTAATTTCTGCACATCATGTCTGATTTGAAAGAAACAGAAATACAAAGTCATAAAAAAAACTTGAGGTTGCGAGATCAATAACTCTGTTAACTTCAGGAAAACCATGAAATAAAACCAAATCAAATACAATAACAAAAAGCATTTGATCTATAAGTATTTCATTTTCACGATATAGTTTTTGTTTGAAATAAGTTAAGACAGAATTAAGTTAATATAAGCTATTTGCTACATCATAATTTTTTACAGAACTGAACTTTAAGTAACTTAAATAACTTAAATATGATCCTGTCTTTCTCAGTTTTACAAAATGACTAGCCCGACTTTACGCTCTATGAGCGTCTAGACTATTATTCAAAATAAATTTGACCTGAAAGGTCATTTAAACAGTAGAAACGGTACAGTCTTTGCAGTTTTGTCAGTATTGTAGCTTTGAGTAATATTTTGATCGTTTGAATCATGTGATATCTCGTAAGTACTATTAAACTTAGTAAGAACTTTGAGTTCGTGGACCGGCACGTTCCGTAAATTACGCTGAACATCTTTTAGTGTGGCCACCAAGAACGGCGTGTGCAGTGTAAGTGAGATCAGCGTTCTAGAGCTGATTTCCTTTATTTTCTTGATCAGCTTGCTTTTCTTGGTCACAAACCAGGTCGCACTAGCTATATTAAAAGTAGCGAGATATCGCGATCAGGCCACGAGGCCGACTGCATGATGTACAAAACAATCCATGTCAAAAATGAAAGTAAGCGAAGATTGGTTTAGTTTGAAATCCCCATGGAATCTGAGAGTGCAGACCATCTGCAATGCAGGCGCTACCACTTTGAAGCCCAATATTCACGACAACGAAGGAGAAAAGTCCGGCCAGACATTTTTAGACGTGAAAATGGTCTTGATTATGTTCTGGTTCGCTGATACTGACAAATTGTCTAAAATAGCAGCTATTCGTTAGTATTTAGTTTGGTTTTGTTTTAAGGTTTTCCTGCGACCTCTAAACATTTTGTCGTTATCATAATTATCATATATACCTTGTATTGGTGCTGTGGGATAAACTGCGGCTGGAAATATAAACGTACAGATTATTTGAAAGACACAAATCGACGGTATTTACATCATTTCAATTCTTTTGTTGGTGGTTACATCACATTGATAT